TGCGTCTGTATGCCTTGGTGGCGGATGGGAGGATCTGGTGTATGGCTGGTGTCGATCTCTGTTGAAGCGGGGGAGTTGTTCCCGTCGACCTTCGTTCCGTCGATCTCTCCTTGTTTCTGAGTGTATCGCTGTTAGCCGTTGGGTCGGCCCATTAAGATCATCCTCGTCCGCTAGTACCTCGGCGCAATAGGCGTTGTGGAATTCCTCCCATGTGGTAGGGGGATATTTCATGAGGCGGCTCAGCAGCTTCTTGGTTGCCCTCGAACCATCTCTGCTTAGCCCGTTCTGGAAAGCGGCAATTGCCATACCTTCCGATACGTTTGGTAGACTCATCCTTACCCTGTTAAACCTTGCCAGGAAGTCCCTGAGTCCTTCTCCTGCGTTTTGCCTGATGGCGAAGATGTCGTTGACCCTGGCCTCCGCTTTCTTCGCGCCTGCATGGGCTGTGACGAATTTATCCGCCATTTCCTCGAACGTTGATATTGCCTTAGCCGGTAGCTGAGAGTACCATGTTAAGGCCCCTCCTGTCAACGTCTCGCCAAACTTCTTCAGCAGTACCGACGGTACCTATTCTTTCGATAGGTCGTTGCCCTTCACGGCGGTGACGTAGTGGATCAGATGATCCTCGGGATCTGTGGTTCCGTCATATACCCTAAAGTAGGGTGGCATCTTGAAGGTTTTTGGGGTAGAGTGAGGAGCAGCTTCTTCGGTGTATGGTTGTTCAACGAACCTTCCCACGTCGCATTTTGGTAGCAACTTGGGAGCACCGGGGATCTTGTCGACCCTCTCCTGATGTTCCTTCATCTGACCACGGAGCGCCTTGTTTTCATTTTCCATTTCTTCCATCTTCTTTAGGATGGCTGTTAGCGTGCCATCGTTGGTCTGTGTCTCGATGGATCTGTTATTTACTAGTGCAGCTTCCGGTTCACCCACGGCAGCAGTGGTACCTACCGTTGGTGTACATACGATGTTATTTTGCGGTGACCTCTCAACCAAGCCACTTAGAGTGCTTGTTAGCCATCTTTCCAGTAGCTTTTTGACCGCTGAGGGTGCTTCCGTAGCCGCAGATGTGGAAGCTCCTTTTTCGTGCAAGATCGTCAGGCCTTCGGATGGGGAAGGTGAGATCTCTGCACCTGGTGTGATGCTAGGGGTTGCATTCAGGATGCCACCTTCACTGGCCTCGTTGAGAGGGCTCAGGAGATTGGTAGTGACACCCTATATGGCTTTCGATCTTGTGCTATTTTCTGCCATTTTTCTGTTTTTGTGTAGTGTAGAGAGTGGTAGTTGGTTGATCTCTAGGTGGATACTATGATTTTGATTCTCGAAATCCCCACAGAGGGCGCCAAATTGTTTGGCTCAAAAGTTAACGATATACTTTGTAAGCGATAAAACAATCAAAAATAGAAAAGGGGTAAATCGTAATCAAATATAATAAGCCTAGAGATGCAAAGATGATAATATTGTTGTAGATCTGATATTGCAAAGTGATAATGTTTACCAATAAGATATTTTCGTTAGAGGTAGAGATATAGAGAGAGAAAGCCAGAAAAACGAGAGAGTTGTATTAGATCAGATCCCCTTTTTACAATGTGGAGGTCTCCTTTATATAATAGGAGACCTTCCTCGAAAGAATCAAAAAGTTACAAAAATAGGTAACGTCTCCCTATCGTGGACGCTGAGTTCTAAACGATGTCGCTTTTGTCCTCACGGCCGAGTCGTACCTGCTACGTTGGTCGGCGTACACTCATTGGGTGTATCCGCTGGCGTAGAGATACTGAGGGTCAAATTTGACCCTATACATTGTTGAAGGAAGCTTCAGCATTCAAGTGTTTAAAATTTTTACTATTGATGACTTGGTAATGCAGAAGTCTAATCCAAAATTTGTTTAGGGGAAATTGACGACCAATTCAAACAAATATTCATCTATAAATACGAAATGTTTTCTTATTATGTTTGTCATAAATCAAGAAAGGAAAAATATCATTTGAATAGTTTCATAAGATAGTTTCTAGTAGATATGGCTCTCAAAGTATTAATATTAACTGTATGGGTCAGAATCCGACCCCACGACAATTAACGAGGCTAATCCCGTTTTAAGTTAATTCATGATTAATTAGTGGCACGACCACTCAGAATCGACGACGTTCAACCCGCCTCTGGCTCGGTCAACAAGGCCCTGGCCCATCCGCCACTATAGAGGCGAGATTTCAACGTGGTCACGACCACTTATTGCCAGCTCACGAAGCCCACAGCTATAAATACCAAGAGAGGGGACCCTAGAAAAGGGGGCTGCTTCTTCACTACTATAGACAGGAGAGAGAAGGGAAAAATATACCTATCTTATGGGAAGAGAAAAACACCATTGTAAGGCTCTGAACCTCTTCATGGAGAGGCAGACCAAACAAATATTATCAATAAAGGCTTTTAATGTTTCTCCCCCTAATTCTGAGTACTTATTTTCGTTTATTTCATTTGGTCCAATGGATTATTACGATTTGCTATGATTTTCCCGTAATTATTTGTATTATTTTGCACTCATAAGATATGTGATAACTTTTGAGCAAACATTAACCATTGCAATAATGGCTGTGTTATCTTCAATGAGCCATGCATTTGATCCTAGTCCTCTGCAGGATATTTGTGTTGCTGTTGACGATTCCATGGCTGCTGGTATATGATCAAATAATTACTTTGAATGCAAAAATCAATCTGGTCTTAGCAATTTTTATAAAGTTTTGTGTGCTTTTCTCTTATCCTTTCTGTTGTTTTTTTCTAAAAATATTAATAAAAACTTCCTTTGCAGTTTTTGTGAATGGGAAAATTTGCAAGGATCCAAAGCAGGTTATGGCAAATGATTTCTTTAAATCAGGTCTAAACATACCTGGAAATACCTCAAATCAACTTGGATCTGCTGTAACTGCTGTGAACGTCGGCAACTTACCTGGACTCAACACTCTGGGCATTTCATTAGCGCGCATTGATTATGCACCATATGGTCTCAACCCACCTCATACACATCCTCGAGGAACTGAGATTCTTGCTGTTCTTGAGGGCACACTCTACGTTGGCTTTGTCCTTTCAAACCCTGGTCCAAATATGAAGAACAAGCTCTTTACCAAGATTTTAAATCCTGGAGATGTGTTTGTTTTCCCAATAGGTCTCATTCATTTTCAATTTAATGTGGGAAAGACTAAGGCTGTTGCATTTGCTGGACTCAGTAGTCAAAATCCAGGAGTCATCACTATCGCGAATGCAGTATTTGGTTCAGACCCACCAATCAATCCTGATGTTCTCACGAAAGCATTCCAAGTTGATAAGAAAGTTGTGGATTACCTCCAATCACAATTCTGGTGGGATAACAACTAAAATAATGGCAAACTATATTACTCTACAAATAGTTATGGTTATGTGAACTGCTTGATGTGTGTCACATAATGTTTCCGACTGTTTTCCTCTCCATTTTACTGTGATGTATTGGATGAGGATATGTTATGGCTTGTTATGGAATAAAAATAAGTTTACTGTTTGTGATATTGCTTAGTTCTTGCGGGAGTGGTATGCTTACCATTCACTGTCACTATCCATTTTTTCTTTGCGTAAAGAAAGGCTACTTTATTTGTCACAATCTATACACCGACGCATAAAAGAAAATTTTATGTTTTTATATGGAATAGATAATTAAGATTCATTTATCCTTAACTAGAGATATCATGTTCAAAAAAATTCTAATAGGGAGCACTAGAAACACATGGAAAATAACAACTTAAGAGATAGTAAACTAAGAAAATTAAAAAGGGTTTTGGTCATTTTACGTGTTGTTATTTAGATGTTGCTTTTCACATTGGTTCGGCGAAAAAAAAAAAATCCCAAGTAGTGTATGTTGACGTTACTAGAGCAGTAAACTCTCTTTGACGGAATTGTGGAAGAAACTTGGAAATTCACATAAAATATGGTTAAAATATCATGGTATAGCCAGTTTTCACACTGGTCAATGAAAAATAGCCAGCGTTTATCAAGTTAATGAAAAATAGCCACTATTTTGCTGCAACAGGGACCGGTCCAGTATAATATACGGGAGTTCTGGTGCATTTGTGTACGAACTCCAGCATATTATGCTGGACCGGTATACTTTGCTAACTCCTGTAAAATTTGCGGGAGCTTGGAGCACCAGTGCTCCAAACTCCAGTATATTATACTGGACAATTATACTTGCTGGAACTCCCGTAAAATTTGCGGGAGTTCCAGCATAATTATGCTTGAACTTCCGTAAAATTTGCGGGAGTTCCAGCATAGTTATCCTGGATCTCCCGTAAAATTTACGGGAGTTCAAGCATACTTATGCTGGAACTCCCGTAAAATTTGCGGGCGTATTTTTCCGGATTTTGAACAGTGCTTTCGCTCAGATTTAAAGTGGCTAAATTTCGATAACTTTTGAAACTTGGCTACTTTTCAACGACCAGTGGTAAATCTGGCTATTTTTGAATTTCTCCCTAAAATATGTATTTGAAAGGCAGGATCGGCTCTATAGGTGTATGTGGTAAGGCAAGTGCCTTAGGCCTCTGATTTTGGGAGGCCCATTTTTTAAGAATACTATATATTTTATAGGTTTATAGGTTTTTTTTAAAAAAAATAAATAATATATATAGTAAGTGTACTTTTTTACTTTCCATATATAAAAAAAAACTTTTAATACATTAATAAAGTAAAGCTTAAAATAGTACTAAAAAAATAACTGTCACTTGGAATTGATTTGACAACTCTACTTTTTGCTTTCTTCCCAAATAATTCCAAGACACAATCCAACATTTCAATTTTATTTCATTCTTCATATTCTATACAGGAGAATGAGACATATTGACATACCTTCTTCCTTCCTTTTTATTCATGCTCATCTTCTTTTTACTATATTTCTTTCTTTCTCCAAGACTCCAACAAGCCAACAACTAGATATTTTTAAATCAAAGTCTTCAAACTTCTTGAATCAGTTAGTCGGGTAATATCATTCTAACTTTGTAGTATTATTTTTATTTGTTATTTATTATTTATTGATTTTACTATGTACATATTGTTTAAATTTTTTAGAATATAAACATGTCTACAAGAAAATATGCATCCGGATATTCAAAAATCCAAACGAAAAGAAAAGTTAAAAATTTAATAAAATCTCAAAAAGGAGCTCTTGAGAATTTTTTGACAAATAATGAAAAAACTAAATCGCAAATGTAAGAGAATATTCTGTAGATGAACAAGACTAACTTTGAGTCATGAGATGATAACGAAATCCAAATTGAAAAAGAGGTTTATGAGTAATATGACGTAGATACAAAGTTTAGCCTTATGCCCCCTGTTAAACTTTGGCCTTACGCTCCATATGAGCTTGAGCCGCCCTGCGAAAAGGAGAAATAGGATAACAAATGAAAACAGAGAACAAATCAAGAATTTGGAGTGCCTAGAATTACAAGAACACCGGTGACCATTAACTCGTCTTCCGCAGTTGTAGCAGAAAAGGGCATCACACCTACATCCAGATGAAAAGAGAATCAGATTAAAGTAACATACTTGAAAGTTTTAACCCTTTCTCCACATCTTATGGTTTAATATCACAAAAAGAGTTATTTTTTTGAATTCTAAAAAGAGTGCAATATTTTAACAGAGCACAGGTATGGCAATATATATCAATCAAATTCACACAACACATTGTATAGGGTCAAATTTGACCCTCAGCATCTCTACGCCAGTGGGTACGCCCAGTGAGTGTACACCGACTAACGTAGCGGGTACGACTCGGATGTGGGGACAAAAGGGACATCGTTTAGTACTCAGTGTCTTCACTAGGGAGATGTTACCTGTCTTTGTAACTTTTTGATTCTTTCGAGGAAGGTCTCTTATTCTATAAAGGAGACCTTCACATTGTAAAGAGAGGATTCTGATCTAATACAACTCTCTCATTTTCTGGCTTTCTCTCTCTATCTCTACCTCAAACGAACATATCTTATTGAGTTCATATTATCACTTTGTAATACCAGATCTACGACAATAATATCATCTTTGCATCTCTAGGTTTATTATATTTGATTACAATTTACCCTTTTCTTACTTTTGATTGTTTTCTAGCTTACAAAGTATATTGTTAACTTTTGAGCCAAACAATTTGGCGCCGTCTGTGGGGATTTCGAGAATCAAAACCATAGTATCCACCTAGAGATCAACCAACTACCACTCTCTACACCACACAAAAACAGAAAATGGCCGAAAATAACACAAGATCGAAAGCTATATTGGGTGTCACTACCAATCTCCTTAGCCCTCTCAACGAGGCCAGTGACGATGGCATCCTGAATGCAACCCCTAGCATCACACCGGGTGCAGAGATCTCACCTTCCCCATCCGAAGGTCTGATGATCTTGCACGAAAAAGGAGCTTCCACATCTGCGGCTACGGAAGCACCCTCAGCGGTCAAGAAGCTACTGGAAAGATGGCTAACAAGCACTCTAAGTGGCTTGGTTGAGAGGTCACCACAAAGTAACATCGGATGTACACCAACGGTAGGTACCACTGCTGCCGTGAGCGAACCGGAAGTTACACTAGCGAATAACAAACCCATCGAGACACAGACCAACGATGGCACGCTAACAGCCATCCTAAAGAAGATGGAAGAAATGAAAAATGAAAACAAGGCGCTCCGCGGTCAGATGAAGGAACATCAGGAGAGGGTCGACAAGATCCCCGGTGCTCCCAAGTTGCTACCAAAACGCGACGTGGGAAGGTTCGTTGAACAACCATACACTGAAGAAGCTGCCCCTCACTCCACCCCAAAAACCTTCAAGATGCCACCCTACTTGAGGGTATATGACGGAACCACAGATCCCGAGGATCATCTGATCCACTACGTCACCGCTGTGAAGGGCAACGACCTATCAAAAGAACAGGTACCGTCGGTACTGCTGAAGAAGTTTGGCAAGACGTTGACAGGAGGGGCCTTAACATGGTACTCTCAGCTACCGGCTAAAGCAATATCAACGTTCGAGGAAATGGCGGATAAGTTCGTCACAGCCCATGCAGGCGCGAAGAAAGCGGAGGCCAGGGTCAACGACATCTTCGCCGTCAGGCAAACCACAGGAGAGGGACTCAGGGACTTCTTGGCAAGGTTTAACAGGGTAAGGATGAGTCTACCAAACGTATCGGAAGGTATGGCAGTCGCCGCTTTCCAGAACGGGCTAAGCAGGGATGGTTC